TAAAAAAGTAAAAAAAAGTCACATTTCACTTTGATATTTTTAAAAGAAAAAGTCTGACTTTATTTCAAAATGATATTCCTACACTAAATTTGCTTCAATTTATAAGAAACACATTAACAAGGGCAGAAACAGCCTTTCAAAACCAGTGAAACATCAAATGTCCAATAAGGTCTTAACATGTATGTAGCATAACTTTCCATTCCAAAAAAACTGAGGATATGGCTAGGAGATTGTCTCATGGATCTTGTTCTGACAAATAAGAAATGGCTGAGAATCTGAAGGTGAATGGAAATGTGAAAGGGAGTGATCATGACCTTGATGGAATTCATGACTCTAAAAAGAAGAAGATCTCCAAAACAAATATACTGGACGTTGTAACAAGGCAGAGATGAAGTAGAGCAAGGGGAGGGGGAAGGGACCTTTACCAGGGGATGGAAACATCAGTAAACACACAGCAAGGTAAGGGAGGAAAAAGTGTCAAGTGGGGGGGAGGTGAAGGAGGTGGAATGAGCCAGGAGTGCCTCACTTCCTTCCCATTTTAGGAGTGGGGTAAGGGCCCCATTACAGACTCATTTGGCCAGGCCATAACATCAATTGGGATAAATCCTCTTATATGAATGTGTCAAAGAGCAGATCCATCCAAATGTTTCCATTCTCAGCTAAGGAACTGTAAGGTAATAAGCTGTTTAGGCATACAGGTAAACTCTATTTTTTACAATATGGTGCAAAAAATATTGATTAAAATCTTAACTAATATTAAAAAGATGTGGAAAGATGGAAAACACTTTCTATATCATTAATAGGAAGAATAGAAATAATCAAAATGAATGTGTGTCCCACCATTAACTATATACTCAGTTAATTGCCCTTGAAAGTACCTGCATCTGTTTTTAAGCATAGAAATTAAATTATACTTACCTTCATATGGCAATTTAAAAGACCAAGAAGGGCATGGTGCAATGGTGGAGTAGATGTCCCAGATTTCTATTTATATTATATGGCTTTTCAGATGAGGGTATTTAAATATTGGATGTATGAAACTATTTTAAAGGACAAACCTATGTGGTTGAGAAGGGAAGAAAAGTTAGCTTCCAAGTTTGGATTATTATACTCATTTCCACGTCTTAAGAGTTTACCTAAACCTCTGAAATGAAACATTGTATTTAACTCTTCATGGAGTGCATTGCAGAAAATTAAAGCCATAACATCTTTAGATTTAACAAGATCTCCCTTTATTCCTTTGTGGGGACACCCTCAATTGAAGTTTAAAGATAATAAAGGAATCTCAGATATCTGGGAGGGGGAGGATATAGCTACAATAAATTCCATCATTAAGGATGGTAGTCTTGCAGCTATTACTTACTATGTGATGGTTCATTTATGTAATGAACAGGAGATATTCTACAAAAAAACTTTGTGCTTGGCTCAGTAAGACATATGGAAATATATGGAATAATTTATCACATACAAATTTGGAAAAAAGTGTTGTATTCTAGGGATAAATCTCACTTTGTTGGTAATACATACAAATGGTTTAATAAAATATTATATCCAGCAGACTCATAGATTGTTAGAGGCTAGAAGGGAACTCGCAAGATCATTGGGTCCAGCCCCCCTGCACTAGCCAGGAAAGAGAACTGGAGGCAAGTGACCCCAGCAAGTTGACCGTCCAGTCTCCTCTTGAAGATTTCCAGGGTAGGTGGTTGCACCACCTCTGGAGGGAATTTGTTCCACAATCTAGACACCCTGACTATGAAGGAGTTTTTCTTAGAGTTGATGTTAAAGGTAAATGGGAAAAGGATTTACAGTAGGGGTCTGCGAAATGGGCCGTATTCAATTTGGATTCGGCCTAAATCGGGGACAATAATTTGATTCGTTGATTCAGATCACTGTCCCTGATTAGATTCAGCTGAATCCAAATCTGAAGATTCGATGTGGATTCAGAGAATCAGGTATTTGGCCATAGACACAGCTTTAAATGTTTTTTCTACAAACCTTATGGTACCAAGAATGGCTCATGAATGCTGTGATGCTGGAGCAGATGGAGTATCCACAGGAGTGCGGGCCACCCCTCTCCCCCCACCCATGTGCTCAGCGGCACACCTGGAAGTGGACCAGAAGTAATTCTGGTCTACTTCCGGGTCTACCGGGAAGTGTGTTGTGGGGCTCCCCCATGCCCCTCCGGCTCGGTGATCAGTTGCAGGTGCCCCCCCAGACTCAGAAGGCACCAGTCACAGAGCCAGGGAATATGGGCCTCCACGTGTTCCCTGGTGGACCCAGAAGTGGACCAGAAGTGCTTCTGGTCCACTTCCGGGTCTGCTGCCAAGCACGCTGGGGGACCCCCCTCCCCCCCTGCGTTCCTGTGGGCCACTCCATCTGCCCCAGTATCACAGCATTCACAAGCTGCCTGGTAACTTGAGGTATGTAGAAAAAGATTTTAAGCTGCATCTATGTCCGAATCACCAAATCTTTCTGAATCTCTCCGAATCAATTCGGAGGGTTCCAATTCAATTCGGAGATATTAAATGATCTCCTGATTTGATTCAGATTTGGAGTTTCAGCCACTGAATCAGGCCAAATCTCCGCCGAATCGAATCAGGGACCAAAGCTTTGCACAGCCCTAATTTACAGAAATTGTTAACAGTTGAGAAATGGGGTAGTTTCTGGAAATCACTTCGTAAAGCATCTAATTCATTGCTTTTAAGATTTTTTTCGGAGCAAGATCTTAAATAGCCTTTCTGGGGCCCAGAAAAACCTATTTAAAACAGGGCTACCTTGGATGGCTATTGCTGGAGATGTGGAAACCAGGTTGGGTCTCTTAGTCGTGTTTTATTCTTTTGTTCAAAAATTACTAGCTTTTGGCTTAGCATGCATGCAACACATTCTAAAATACTTAAAATTAACATGGTGCCATCACCAGATTTATGCATATTGGGGATTATGGATTCATTACTATTGTCTGTGCCCATGAAAAGATGGCTAACTATAATATATTTGGTTACTAAATGGTTAATTTTAAGGAAATGGAAAACTCCCAGTGTACCTTCCCTTACAGAATCATAGAAAATTAGGTTTGGAAGGGACCTTGGGAGGTCATCTAGTCCAACCCCCTGCTCAAACCAGGACCATTCCCAAATAAATGATTCCAGCCAGGGCTTTGTTGAGCCAGGCCTTAAAAACCTTGAAGGATGGGGACTCCACCACCTCTCTAGGTAAACCATTCCAGTGCTTCACTACCCTTCTAGTGGGAGTTTTTCCTAATATCTAAACTAAACTTCCCTTTCTGCAACTTGAAACTATTGCTTCTAGTTCTGTCTTTGCCACCACTGGCTCCATCCTCTTTCATTCTTGGAATGGTTAAAAAAATTTGTGCATGTTGCATTATAGAATAGATTGCATATGCAGATAGGCATAACTAGGCTCAATATGAAGAAATATGGTGCAATATGAATCTTCTGTTAAGTTTATAAGTTGATTTGCTTGTGGTTTGGTGTCCTTTAAGTGTATATGTATATTTGTTAGCTGGTTACATATAATGTCAAGCTCGTCGAGCTCTCCCCTTCCTGTAGTCTCTATTAAATGTATAGAAGGTATGCTTAATTATCTATTTTGTAATGCTTTGGATTTGCTTATTTTATTTTACTTATTAGTTTATATTTTATCGTTTTTGTTGGTTTTATGTTATTGTTATAATATGAAAATTAATAAATATAATTACCAAAAAAAATAGGTGGATAGCTAACTGGCTCAATAATCACAGGTAAAGACTAATTATTAATTGATTGACATCAGAATAGCAGGAAGTTTTGAGCTGGGCTCCGAAGTGTTCTGTGCCTGGTGCTATTTAACATGTGTATTAGTGATGGAGTTTCCTGATCAGCTTTACAGATTACATGAAAATGGGAAGAATTACAAACTCCTTTGAGAGTACAAGTAGAATTCAAAAAGTTAGATTGGAGAGTGGGACTAAAGACAAAAGAATAAAGTTTACTACAGAGAAATGTTGGGTGCTACACCTTCTAGACTCTACATTTTAAGGATGTGGAGAAGGGTTCAGAAGTAGGAAAAACAAAATGATAAAGGTGTTGGAAGGCAAGCTATGCGGGCAAAGATTGAGAGACAGGTATATTTAGCTTGGAGAAAAGGAGATTTGACAGATGACTTAAAGAAATGGGAGAACAATTGTTCTTCCTTGCTGCTGAAAGCAGGGCAGATGGCAATGGTTTTGATTTGCAGCAAAGTCAAATCTAGATTAGATCCCAGGATCAATTTACTTAGTGTTAGAATAATAAGTCAGTGAAACAGAAAGCACAGGAAAACTGTAGAACCCTGGATAAGTATTTGATACAGAGAGTTTGAGATTAGCTTTGTTTTACCAGATGACCCTTGAGGTCTCTCTCAACCATATGATTCCATGCTTGTATGAAAAGCCTTAAAACCCAAAACATGCATGTTGTTTTGAACAAAACATTTTGTTTGACTTAAAATAATGTTTTAATTATGTGTTTCTCCCAAAAATCAAAACTATTTGTTTTGAGTTGACCTGAATCTTTTTTTTTAATTGTGGTTTGTCCAGTGAACAAAAAAAAACGCATTCACAAAGCTAGTTATGATATATATATGGGATCAAAAGAAAATTCTCTTCTCCATTAAATGATTACCATAATAGAAATATGCAGATAAAGCCATAAGAATGATATGGTAAATCTGCCATGTGCTCAATCTAGAATATAGCTAGCTCCTCATGATGAGTGGATTCACCAGTACCAACAGCCCTCTTTTTCTTTTAAGCATCATGTAGACTGAAATTAAGCTTTTTTTACTTCTTACCACCAGGTCTGTAGGAGTGCTAATGCTCTGCTTATATATCCCTCCTGTAATTAAGAAATATTTTGGGAAAGGGGCCAGAGAGAGTTGAATATTACTTCATAGTAAAAACAGAAAGAGGTATCTTCTAAAGATGTAGATATTATGTTGTCCTTTGACAGAAAAAAACCCTTCTAAATCTCACTTTCTTCAAAGACTTCCTCGGTTGTCTCTCCAGTAGTGACTTCTCCTTCACTGCTGTCGGACATGCTAAATCTGGGGTTTCGGTGGACTGCAGGGCCTGGATCTGGGTTAATATCTGCTGTCCTCTTTACCATCGTCTGCTGTAACTGCATACTGCAGGGCTCACTTATTTCTAGGTAAAACTGGTTGCTGGCCTGGTGCTGCTTCTTTGGCTTCTTTGAATATTTCCCTAGGTATTTGATGTTTTCCCCAAGGAAGCATTGCCAACAGCCAAAAGGATCAGCTAGCAGGAAGCGAGACCATTGCTTCTGCAGTTCTGCCTTCACCTGTTAGAAGAAGAAAACAACCTAATGAAAAGTATCTGTGCAGTGTTTTTCACACAGGTGATATGCTGCATTACATGGCCTCAGAGGTTTATACACAGAGGTGTTGTAGATAAAACAAGCTTTTCACCCTTTGGGCTAGGGACAGACATTACACATTAACCAGTTTAAGTGATGAGAAACTGGTTTAAACCATTAACAGAACAGATGTTCATTGCACATAAACCATTTGAAAATGGCTGAAACTGGTTTGAGATAAACCTGGTTGAATGTAGTATCAGACTTAACTGATTTGGGTCAAACCAGTTTATGCAATCTCTGTCCCAGACACCTTGCTGGTTTAAGATAAAACCAGACACCCCCAGCATCCTGGCATGCTCTCTATGCTGGGCAGGGCTCTCTGCTCCACAGCAGGACTGGCCCCTCCTCTGCTCCCTGGCTGCAGCTCTGGCACAGACTGTGTGCTGCTTTCTCCCCTCCCCTTCACCACTCCCTGCTACACAGGAATTCCCCCCTCCCCTCTGCCTTGCTGTGGGGGTGTCTGTGTATTAGCTAGCAGATCACATGCCGGCTATGGTCCCTGCTGAATCAACAGGTAGAATCAACAGGTAGCTGGTAATGGCCTTCTGTTTTCTTAATGGGGTGATAAACACAGAGTTAGGGGTGCTAAACACTGTTATCAATTCCCTACTGGGCTAAACAGAGTGTCCTGCGGTCTGGCCATGCCCCACCCCCTCCCCTCAGATCAGTGCTACGGGAGGGCTGCTCTAGTGCCCCCAGCTTCTAGCTTGAGCCACTGCAGTCATGTGCCTGCATTTCTGGGATGCCTGTACAGTTACAAACCAGTTCAGCCTAGCCAGGTTAGTCTAACCTGCAAAGATTGAATCAATTCAGGCTCAGGTTTTTGGAATATCTGTCCCTTAGCTCTAATCTTGCATGATCTCTTCTGGGGAGAGTGGAAGTCAGTCTCTAAGGCTAACTCTATCTTGCACTTTTTTGACTGGGCTGCAAACAAGTAAATGTCAGTGACACAGATTTTGGGATGTAGCTGCCTATATGAAAGGAACTATGCAGAAATCTGTGCATAAATCAGATAGGAAACTGAGCAGCTGTTAGACAAGAATGGCTATAGGGTCTGGGAGGCACAATCCTCAGCCCTCCAATTTCAATCCTGAGCTGACAGGACCCAGGCCCACTGAGTTTATTACAATTTCTGTCATGAAAATTACTTTTTTTCAGTGGTCTTCCTTGACAAAGAACCAGGAGGCCATGAGTTCCAGAATAACTCCCAATATTAATAGTTCTTGGCATTTTGGAACTATGTTCCTGAGTGAGGCCTCTCCTGCAGGAAAGCATCAGTTGTCTGCCATATAAGATTGAAGGAAAGATTGTTCTAACCAATTCTGAGAACGCTGGCAATAAAATCCTAGCATACAATACAGCAGGCCCAAGTCTCATCCTCTTACTACATGATGTGAAGTTTCAAAATGTGGATACGTGTCAGTAGAATGAGGCTATGCTGTATATGTGCCCCACTCTGTTGACAAGGTAACTGTATTGGCTCTCAGGTGGCTAGGATGCCTGCTGATAAAAGCCCCTTTCTTATTTAAAAAAGCAGATAAATATGCTATGGGTGCAAAGGGCTGGGGCCAAGACATTGTTAAGCACAAAGTTAAGTGTATCCAGGCATCCATCCCTTGCCTTAACTGGAAAAAAGAGCATACTGCATATACATGAGGATATGGCCTTTGTTTGTAATGCTCACAGATAAGCATTCAAGCTGAATTTCTACATGTTTGGCTTCTGTTTCAGATTGCTTTAGAGAGCTTAAGCAAAAGTGGTGCACTTGTTTCAAAAAATTTAGTGAAAGTTCAGTGAAAGTTACTTACAGGGCGCATCTACACAAGTAGACTAATTAACTTTACAATAAATGTCTTGTGTCTACACATGCAGCACTGTTAGGCTGCAGGAAACTAAACTCGGCAGCAGGGTAGTATTTGTAAATACAAGTACTATATCCTACTGTGGAGTTACTATAAAACAATGCATGTGTAGATGCTGACCTCGGCATAAATTATGCCCAGTTAGTCCAATCAGCAGGGGGCCACACTCCTGCCTGCTACCTAGCCACATGGCTGCAGGAGCCTGATGGCCCAGCAAACTCCTTTGCTGCACAATGCAGCCACCCATTGCCTAGGCCTGAAACCCATACCCCTGCCAGAAGACTGCCCTCTGGACTCCAAGCTACACTGCCAACAGTCAGAGCCCAGAGCTGGCCCTCATGCCCCGTGCCAGCAGGACTGGCACCTGGGCAGCTGCAGCCAGAGCCTGGAGCTCCCCCTGGCTGCTGCTGGCCTGGCCTAAACTGCTCCTCCCTGGCTCTATGTGCCGCTGTCCCAGGTGCATTTATAGACACTGAACCCAGGAGTTTACTGTGAAGTATAGTTTCATAGTTTCATAATAGCTAGGATCAGGAGGGAACTGAACAGATCATCTAGCCTGACCCCCTGCCACAGGCAGGAATGAATGCTGGGTTCACAAGACCCCAGACAGGTGATAATCCAACCTCCTCTTGAATTTGCCCAAGGTAGGGGTGAGGACCACTTCCCTGAGAAGTTGGTTCCAGATTTTGGCTACCCTAACTGTAAAATATTGCCTTCTGATCTCTAACCTAAACCTATTCTCCATCAGCTTATGACCATTGTTCCTTGTCACCCCAGGTGGTGCTGGGGAGAAAAGGGCTCTACCTATTTGCTGTTGATCTCCCCTGATGCGTTTGTAGGCAGCCACCAGGTCCCCCCTCAGCCTCCTCTTGCTGAGGCTGAACAGGTTCAGGTCCCTCGGTCTCTCCTCATAGGGCCTGTCCTGCTGCCCTCTCACCAAGCGGGTGGCCCTCCTCTGACCCCTCTCCAGGCTGGCCACAACCTTTTGAAGTGCGGCGCCCAGCAGTGGACTCAGTACTCCAATTGCGGCCTGACCAAAGTCGTATGGACAGGGAATATCACTTCTCTGGACCAGCTTGAGATGCACCTTTGGATGCATGACAAGGTATGGCTGGGCCTTTTTGTTGCCGCCCTGGCTTGGTGTTAGCCCTGCTGACCGTGACCTCGCATTGTTGGTTCATGTTCATCTTGGCGTCAATAATGACTCCAAGATCCCTTTCCGCCTCTGTGCTTTCAAGAAGGGAACTCCCCAGCCTGTATGTATGCTGTGGATTCCTTCTCCCAAGGTGCAGCACCCTGCATTTATCTACGTTGAACCCCATCCTATTCTCATCTGCCCACTTTTGTAGTCTGTTTAAATCTAGTTGCAGCCTCTCTCTCCCTTCAAGTGTGTCCACCTCGCCCCACATCTTAGTGTCATCAGCAGACTTGGACAGCGTGCTTTCCACCCCCTCATCCAAGTCACTGATATAGATGTTAAACAGTGCGGGCCTGAGGACCGAGCCCTGGGTTACCCCACTGCTCACATCTCGCCAGTTTGAGTACAACCCGTCCACCACTACTCTCTGGGTGCGCCCCATCAGCCAATTTTTTACCCATCCAACTGTGTAGGCATCAATGTCACAGTCATTTAAGTTATTGATGAGGATGGGGTGAGAGACAGTGTCAAAGGCCCTCTTAAAGTCTAGAAAGACTATGTCCACAGCGACACCATCATCCAAGGATTTAATTACTTGGTCATAAAAGGCAATCAGGTTGGTTGCCTTTTATGACCAAATCAAGCAAATTTCCCACAATTTATAAGGTCACAATAATTGCACATGTAGATGGGCCCACACTGGTATTCTTTTCCACTCCTGGTTATATAACTATCTTAATTCAGACATCACAGGGTATTTTTGGTACTTATATGTCCAGGGGTGTTCCATTGCTGGACATGTAGCCCTGAGTGCCTGGATGGGTACATCGTTGCTTACATGCGTATGCATGCAAAGATACACACTGCAAACTTAAACATCTGAAAATGGAGTTGTCCCCTTCTTTTGCCCCTAAGCTAAGGCCCTCATCATGGATGCTTGGAGTCTATGGGTGCTGGCCTCCTCACCCAGAGAGAGGTTTGAACCAGGGTGTCTTTCACTTCTCAGCACAGGGCTCTAACTACTATACCACAGGTCAGCCATTTCCATCACTCCTTCTGAAGCTGAGTCAGCAATTGATTCACTGGAAAAAATGGATGGAGGGCAGTGCACTGAGAGCAAGGGTCACAGCTAGAACCCAGGGTCCCTCCCTTCTAAATAAACAAGCACCTCACCAGCTCACACATTCCATGGCTTGTTCCTATCCTGTTAGCCCCACTCCCCTCTCTTGGCTGCCCAAAGGCCCAGCTTGAAAAGGAGTGCCAGAGAAGGGGCTTAATAATGGATGACCTGTGTTGTTATGGTTTGAGTGCTGCACTGGAACATCAGGCACACCCAGGCTTAAATCCCTATGAGTAGGGGCCTAAAACCCAGGATCTCTGACATCCCAAGTGAATGCCCTAGCTACCTGGGGGGATTGGTTTTTCTCTTTTCTGCATGCATATGTAGCTCTCGACATGTGCAAGGTGAGTCAGCCCTGGGCTCTGACTGATGGTGGCAGTGTGGCCTGTGGAGCCTTTGCAGAAAGGCTCGCTAGCCTAGTGAGGAGAGCTTTCAGGTAGATTCATGGGAATGGAGAACAAAGCCCTGAGGGAAGTGGGGAACCAGTAGAAAGCAGAAGCAGGAGGCAGCAACAGAGGCGGCCTCATTTCTCCTGAGAAAGTAGGACAATTGGCTAGTCACTCAGGCGTCTGTACACAAATGCATGGAGCCTGGGAAACAAGCAGGAAGAACTGGAAGTCTTCGCATAGTCAAGGAACTATGACGTGATTGGAATAACAGAGACTTGGTGGGATAGCTTGTATGACTGGAGCACTGTCATAGATAGGTACAAATTGTTTAGGAAGGATGAGAAGGGGTGAAGAGGAGGAGTTACGCTGTAGGTAAAAGAGCTGTATGATTGCTCAGAGCTCCAGTATGAAACTGGAGGTAGTCCTGTTGAAAGTCTCTGGGTTAACATTTGAGGGGAGAGCAACAAGAGTGATGTTGTGATGGGTGTCTGCTACAGAACACCAGACAAGGAGGATGAGGCAGATGAGGCTTACTTCAGACAAATAGTGGAAGTTTCCAGATCACAGGCCCTGGTTCTCATGGGAGACTTCAATCACCCTGACATCTGCTGGGAGGACAATACAGCAGTGCACAGGCAGTCCAGAAAGTTTTTGGAGAGCATTGGAGACAACTTCCTCGTGCAAGTGCTGGAGAGACCAAATAGGGGCCATGCTCTTCTTAACCTACTGATCACAAACAGGGAAAAATTCTTGGGGGATGTAGAAGTGGATGGCAAGTTGGGCAGCAGTGACTATGAGATGATCAAGTTCAGGATCCTGACAAAAGAGAGCAGCAGAGTATTGGACCCTGGACTTCAGAAAAGCAGACTTTGACTCCCTCAGGGAACTGATGAGCAGGATGCCCTGGGAGGCCAATCTGAGGGGCAAAGGTCTCCAGGAGAGCTGGTCGTATTTTAAAGAAACCTTACTTAGGGCATGGGAACAAATCATCCCAACTTGCAGGAAGAATAGCAAATGTGGCAAGCAACCAGCTTTGCTTAACAGCGAGCTCTCCAGTGAGCTTAAACACAAAAAAAGGAAGCTTATAAGAAGTGGACACTTGGACAAATAAATAGGACAGAGTATAAGAATATTGCTTGGGCGTGCAGGGATGAAGTCAGGAAGGCCAACGTATAATTGGAGTTGCAGCTAGCAAGGGACATGAAAGGTTTCGACAAGTATGTTAGCACCAAGAGGAAGGTCAGGGAAAGTGTGGGTCCCTTACTGAATGAGGGAGGCAATCTAGTGATAAATGAGGAAAAGGCTGAAGTACTCGATGCCTTTTTTACCTCAGTCTTCACAGGTGGGATCAGCTGCCAGACTACTGCACTAGAAAGCACAGTTTGGGGAGAAGATGAACAGCACTTAGAAATGAAAGAACAGGTTAGGGGCTTTTTTAAAAATCTGGATGTGTTCAAGTCCATGGGGCCAGATACAGTGCATGCGAGGGTGCTGAGGGAGCTGGCTTATGTAATTGCAGAGCTATTGGCTATTCTCTATGAAATCTCTTGGTGACTGGGTGAGGTCCCAGGTGGTTGAAAAAGGGCAAATATAGTGCCCATCTTTAAGAAAGGGAAGAAGGAGGATCCAGGGAACTATGGACTGGTCAACCTTACCTCAATCCCTGGAAAAATCATGGAGCAGGTCCTCAAGGAATCCATTTCTAAGCACTTGGAGAAGATAATGATTAGGAACAGGCAGCATGAATTCCCCAAGGCCAAGTCATGCCTGACCAACCTGACTGCCTTTTATGATGACATAACTGGCTCTGTGGATGTGGGGAAAGCAGTGGATGTGATATACCTTGAGTTGAGCAAGGCTTTTGATACTGTCTCCCACAGCATTCTGCAAGCAATCTGGGGAAGTATGGGTTGGATGAAGGGACTGTAAGGTGGATTGAAAGCTGGCTGGATTGTTGGGCTCAACAGGTAGTAACCAATGGCTCAATGTCAAGTTGGCAGCCTGTATCAAGTGGAGTGCCCCAGGAGTCAGTCCTGGGGCCAGTTTTGTCAATATCTTTATTAACGATCTGGACATAGGATGGAGTGGACCCTCAGTAAGTTCACGGATGACACCAAGCTCAGGGATGTAGTAGATGCACTGGAGGGTAGGGATAGGATTCAGAGTGACCTAGACAGATTGGAGGATTTGGCCAAAAGAAATTTCATGAGGTTCAATAAGGACAAGTGAAAAGTCTTGCACTTAGGGTGGAAGAATCCCATGCACTGCTACAGCCTGGGGACAGACTGGCTAAGCAGCAGCTCTGCAGAGAAGGACCTGGGAGTTACAGTGGACCATAAGATGGATGTGAGTCAGTAGTGTTGCCAAGAAGGCTAACAGCATACTGGACTGCATTAGTAGGAGCGTTGCCAGCAGATCGAGGAAAATTATTATTCCACTCTATTCTGCACTGGTGAGGCCATATCTGAAATACTGGGTCCAGTTAGAATCATAGAATCGTAGAACTGGACAGGATCTGTAAGATCATTAAGTCTGGTCCCCTGCCATGAGCAGGAAGTTTTTGCTTTCACATGAGCCCAGCACGGTGCCTGTCCAGCCTCCTCTTGAACACCTCCCAGGTTCTTGACTACACCACTTCTTCTGGGAGTATGTTGCAGATTCTGGCGACCCTTACAGAGAAGTTCTTCCTTGTATCTAGCTTTAATTTACCCTTTATAAGCTTATGTCCATTAGTCCTCATCCTTTCTTAAGGTGTCTTCCTGAAGAGTCGCTCACCTGGCTCTTGGTGTTCACCCCAATATACTTGTAGGCGGCAATCAAGTCTCCTCTCAGCCTTCTCTTACTCCAACTGAACAGGCCCAATTCCTGGAGTCTCTCCTTGTAGGGCCTACCTGCATAGTTCCCGGAGTCTCTCCTCATAGGGCCTACCTGCATGCCCTTGACCTCCAGAGGTGCCTTCCAACCTTGATTTTCTATGATCCTATGAATGCACCCTGCAACAGAAGGCTCCTGGATATATAAGTACCAGAAATGTCCTACATGTGGCTGTAGCAGATTTCTGCCTCAGGGCCTTTTCTGCAAAGCTTTTGCCCCTTCCCTGAGCATCCTCAGCTATCCTCAGTAGTAGCCAGTCTTTAAACCTTCTAGCTTTTGCTGTCTAGAGCACCTCTCAGCCTGCCCAAGTCATATACAGTCTTTCATCACACAAAGTAAGCGAACAAAAACCTTATTGCATTTGACCCTGTATGATAGGAGGATGTCACAAGGCCAGTCGCAACATCAGCCTGCCCACCTATCTAGGACAGTCTGCCCTGTCTCACCTGCTACACCCTGATGTGTTAAAGAGGAAGTAATAATGTGGGAGGCTGTGCATTTTATGCCTCAATGCCTAGGGTGTTATACACAGCTCCGAACTTCCCCATATACCATGTCCCATGCCTTGCAGATGGCATCCAAAGTACAAACTCAGCCTCAGGCATCCTCTGATGTACCTGGGCCTCCTGCCCTCTCACTAGGGCCTCCACTCATGCCCTTTCACTAGGGCTCCCACTTATGTTACCTTATTATTGGGGCCAACCTGTGCACAGTCCTTCAGGCCACAGAGATTCTACTCTACATGCCCCTGTGAAGTCTGTCAAGCCCACCTATGCAGACCCTACTCTGTGCCATCACATACAGCTCTTCAGACCACCCCTGCAAACCCTACTCTGTGTGACCTACTATACCCTCTATACCCCCTCACTGGGGCCACTATTCCATCCCCTCACTGGGGCCATTACTTGGTCCCCATATACTGGGGCCGTGGGTCTTATACTCCATGGAACTCAGGTGTCCGTAGAAGTACCTGGATCCTTCCTGAAGGAGGATCCTGAAGGTGTCCTGAAGAAGTGCCTGGATCCCATACTCACCTTTCACTATAGGGGGCAGCTGATGTGGCATTTCCTGGGGACCACCCCACCACAGGCAGCCCCACCACACCATCCTACCCCAGCAGGGTGTAGTTTAGGTCATGCCCCAGGACCAGGAACCTCCTCCATCCCCATAGTTCCTGTCCTGCACCTCCAAGGTGTTATGTGAGCAGCAGCTCCAGCCAGGCAATGTTCCCCCTCTGGCTGATGGCAGCAACTGCTACCTCCACTGCTCAGGGCCTGCTCTTATCACTAGCAGCTGGGCCCTCTTCCCAATTAGGTGGTCTCCTACTGGCCATGTGACTCCTGATTGGCAGTGCAGTCACCTGCAGGCTGCTCTGCTGTCTCTTCTAGCCCTTAAAGTAGTAGGCACCAAAAGTACTCTGCCAGACCCTGGAATGGGTCTGATATGGCCTCCACTTTCCTTTCCCTCTTGATTCAAACATCCTCAGCTTCTCCTCCTCAAACCCCAGAGGTCTTCTGCCTCTGATGCATCACCTCCACTTAAGCAGCTGGTTCTGCTTGCTGGGTTTTTTGCTTCCCAGTGAGCCATGCCCTCATTAACCTTCCCACAGCTGCAGCCCTTCAGTCTAATTAGCTGCCTTCCCTAATGGGGACAGGCCACCCTGATACAATGGTCAAATCTAGGT